ATTGGTTGTACAAAATTTGCATAATTTACTAAATCTGAAGAACGTACAACTTTAAAATCAGAAAACATATACAAATCATCATGACTAACAAGACAATAGTCGACCACTGAACAACCTTGTGGTTTAATGCAAGTAAAGTCATTTCCAACACAATTTCTACCATTTAAGATACAAAAGTTTGCACTAATTAAAAAATCAATTAAAACATCACCATATTCATTACATGTATAGTCAATTATATTTCGACTAGGTATACAGTCAACACCTTCAATAAAGTCATATTCCTCCCCACATCGGCTGTTAAAGTCACCGCATATACAGATAGAACCTTTATTCTGATAGTCATAGATACCACCCAGAAGTTTATCATAAAATATAGACGCATCGATCTGTCTAGACGAGTTCTTTGGGGGAAGATAGCATACACACATAAATAAATCTTTCCCATTAAATTTATCTTTTAAACATAACCATAAAATACCCTCTTCCTGATCATTTTCAATAGAAATATCAAAAAACTGAAAAAGATCTTTCTTCACTAAAAAGCCTACCCCCCCCCCCCTGAACCTCCGCATGCATTCACGTGTAAATTCTGTCTATTGTTACCAAACCATTTATAATTTTCAAGAATTAATTGTTCATTGTTTTTGAGATGCGTTTCAGCGATACCTATAATATCTAAGTCTAGATAACTTATACATTCATTTCTTAATTGAAAGTTTATTGATTCATCAAGTTTTCCATCCATTCACATTCCAAAATCCTGCTACAATCTATCTTTGCCTCTGTCCTCCCCGATGATTATTCTGGTATCTTCCACGTCCCCCTCGATGACCACCATGTTGCTGCCCTCTTGTTTGCCCTCTTCCTGAATTATCGCCCCCATTAGATGGTGAATCTACATTTTGATTTCTCCTGCTTGTATTACGTTCAAATTGTCTTGGACGGTTCTCATCCGTCACCGTATTTCTATTACCTCCTAGAGTAGTGTTATCATGTCGTATAACTCGTGTCCCATGAACACTAAGGTTTGACGTACCCTCCTTAATGGCATTGACAATTGTGTGCATGTTAGCAGCCATAACTCTGTCTTCCTTTGTCTGATCACTGCTAATGTAAACTGAACGAAATTTGTCATCATCCTTTAACACACTTTTAGCACTTAGAATTTTCTTTTTATCATTTGTATCTTTACATTTCACAATCACAACTCCTGGTTTGTTGTTAAATTGATCTTTCCTTTCCACCCTTTCGACCGAAACATCACGCAATTTAAGTCCTTTATGCAAAAGGTCTTCAACTTTCCTTTCTAAATTCTCAGATTTATGATATGGTAAGTTCCTAACCACTACATTACACTCAATTTGTTTGTTACCACGTTGGATATTTTCTATCTCCCTAAGGGAAAAATCTTCAATTTTCTCATTTAGTTGTGAAATGTCATCTATAACTTCTTTTCTGATATCTCCAATTTTATTGTCAATCTCTTTCCGTAACTTTGCTGTTTCAGAACTTAATCTCTTATCAAACATCTTAGTCAATTTGTCAGTAATCTTTTCTGTTAAACGTTTTTCAGTATCAGAGATATGTTCTTGCAATAAATCCAAACGGCTGTTCATATTTTCATGGATCTTACGCACATCTTTGGACAGTTGTATTAACAAGTCTATATTCAAATCAGAATTGGCGTTACCTGAAATATCCTCCGAAGTCTGTCTCATAGCCCCAATGTTCTCCTCATTATATTCACTTATAACACAGTCATTACCTTTGTACTTTTTGACCGCCTCTTCATTATCCATAGAGGCATGTCTACGTTTTCTATTGTGTCCCCGAATAGAAGTATTCACCCTCGTGACTGGCTGAGAAGACATTACCAAGTCCACGTAGTCTTTCGCTTAAAAACCAGCGTCCTCAGACCTCAAGTTAAGTAAATTTCCCTCTGTCGCCATACAGCTTACTGTTATTCTATTAATGTCACGTAAATATCATACAATTATACTTTCATAAAGTCAGATTTCCTCAAAAGATACCTTCGAAAACTGCTCACGCTGACTTATTCCCTTATTTCCGGTGCTCTCGGTGTCACAGTGCAAAACACCAGTGATAATTAATCTCCCACGTGCAAACAGCTGCAAAGTTATCTTATTAATGTTACGTATATGACATTCAATAATACTTTCATAAAGTCAAGTCAGGTCTCCTCAAAAGATACCTTCGAGAACTGATTATGTTGACTATTTCCCTTATTTTCGGTGCTGGCGGTGTCACGGTGCAAAACACCACTGCTAATTAATCTCCCACGCGCAAACAGCTGCAAAGTTTTCTCAATAACCCTGTCAATATGTCTGCTGTTCTATCCAAATTAGAACTTTCCACACCTTCAGTAGTATTTATTCTCACTTCTTAACTAAGTCACTAGTCTGAAACTGGCTTAATTTTTATAAAATTCAGCAAAATTATCTCAGTGGTTTTTAACGTGTTCACTCACAAGGTCTCAGACCACTGTATTCAATGATTGATACATTATATCTATAAAAGATAAAATTAACGGTAAATAATTAGTTGTTCTCGCCATTATGCGATAATATAATGGCCCAGGGATGTGCATATTTGCCTGAGGGCCAGAGGCAAGAAGACCATTATAGGTCCAAGGGTCATTATCACATAATGACGAGCAGCAACTAAGTATTAAGAGTCTTTCTTTAACATGTAACCGGGGATAAACGACATGCTTCTATTTCATCGTTTTATTGTTGGACATACAAAAAGGAGCCTACAAACCAAATACAAAGGAATTGCAAATAATTGATTACAAAATAATAAAATTACACATTTCATCCAATTCATAAATGGAAAAGAATATGACATTACAAATATATAAATTCTTAACAGGATCAGCATAAGTATGGGTTCCAAGCATTTTCAGGAGTGTTTGGTTCCAACGTTCAGCACCTCCATTTCACATGGCGTGATATTGAGTAGATTTGGACTTCTTAAGGCCAGCAATCTTGCATAACTCCTGAATGGTGCGACTTAAAAAGTTGCGACCTTGGTCACAATGCAATTGCTCTGAGAACCCGTAGTATCGAAAATATCCTTCATAAAATGCCTTTGCTGTGGATGCAGTCTGGTTCCTGGAACAGCCTGAGCGAAACGTGTAAAATGGTCCACTATTACAAGGATATTTTCAATACCACCTTTACTGGGTTCAAGCTTTAAGAAGTCGATGGAAACCAATTCCATTGGTCTGGTAGTATGGATAGGTTACAGTTCGGCAAAAAGCTTGTTACATGGAGTCTTACGCTTGATACAGCGATCGCATCTCTCAACCCAACTGAAAATGTCCTTCACCATACCAGGCCAAAAAAACCTTTGTCTACCAAGCCACAATGTCTTCTCTTTGCCTTGATGCCCGGCACAATTATGAATACCTTTCATAGCAATGTTTCAATGAGATTCGGGAATGATAAGCTGTTCGACTTGTTGACCATCCAATGTAGCGGTTCTGTACAGAAAATTTGCTTCTCTAAGGTACTTCTGTACAGCAGGTTGCTGTTGATAAAAAAACATTTTCAGTCAGGCTAAAAAATGCAGCGGTAAAATTAAATGTAACACGCATTTCGCCAAACTAAATCCTATCCATACTACAAAGCCAATGGAATTGGTTTCCATCAAGTTCTTAAAGCTTAAGCAAGAAAATGTTTCGCGGTGATTTTAGGGTCATGCACGTGAAATATTAGTGAACACAGTCATACAACCTTTCATTTCACAGTGACCTCTCTTACGAAACAGACATTACAATAACATTACCATAGTTAGGCAAACACACGACGACACAACATTAAGGCAAATACCAATCAAATACAACATAACACGGTGGATACAATATACCAGTGATAAACAGAAAACGATACACAGGTTACGCAACAGATATGCCCGGTCTGGAATAGTAAAGGCGTTAAGACATCGGTACTTATCTTTATAATAATGGACAATTTTCGATGTTAAGAAATAAATTAGGTCAAACTTTAACAAATTAGCTGTTCCTTGAAGAACATGAAAACACGAAATAGAGTTGAACTGTTATTTTATTATTTATGATGTTTGTTATTTCTGAGAATAATTTTAGGAGCAAGTTTCTTTAATTTTTTTTGTGAAGTTAGATGATTAAACGCATCTTCTGATGTTGTCAAGTCAGAATTCACATAGATTTTGATGTCCCCGGCCAAGGATCTAGATTTTGTTTCCTGAAGTGTAGATGGTTCTAGTTCTTCTTTGGTTTCACAATGTTTGTGGAGTTTTTCGAGATTTGTTGTAGCCCTAGATGTAGATAAATACGTGACAAAATCCTTGATTTAAATTGCTTTTCGCTGTCTTCATGTTTGCAGATATATTATAAATCTACATTTTATGAATGCATGTCCGCTGGCCGGTCAATTTCTAGTTTTGGCAAGGTCATTTAATTTTTGTCTCAAGTTTATAGATCTTCAATGTGAAACTAGATTGATGTCGCTTGTTCATGTCATTTAAAAGTGTGTTTACAAGTATCTACAGTTCATTCAACAAAGGAAGCCATCATGAAAACTATATAGTTGTTTTGACACTTTGTGCTTGCGCTAATTAATGTCTTTATTGTGTAAAAAATGCAAGGCGGCCGAAAATTTCATAATCACTTGTCATAATGCTTTGGTTTTTTTTTTAACTCTAAATTGTGATACTATATATAGCTATTAAGGTATAATTGATTAAATAAATTTAAAGTAACAAGAATATATAACGTTTATGTTTATAATTCATTCATTATAAATTATGATTCTCTTTCTTATTGATTCTTTTTTATCTTCTTAATGTTTGTCTTGAGTAATAATGATGCAACTTTCTTGTAAATAAAACAAGTTTTTTGTCATAACGAGACAGAGTTATTTAATTATGTATTACGTATTAAATTTACAAATGTGTTGATCATGGTTATTAAAATTTACAAATTTATCTTACAGAAAATGGCTAATAATAATTTACTTATCTCAAACGTTCAACTATCGGACGAGGGAGTTTACCAGTGTGAGGCTGAAGACTACAACGGTTGCTATAGTTACAAAGAGGGCAAACTACAGGTGGTAAATTTGAAACCATTGGAAAAATGTAAGTTTAATAATTGCCTAAAGTAGTTCAATTGTTAATGTCTGAAATTAACATCAACATAAGAAACAGCCAAATATTTCATACAAAAACACAAAATGCCATGGCCAGAAACTATGCATATACATATGTTCCAAACATTTATTTTACTTTATATAATATGCACACAGAATCAAACATACTCGTTAACCTAGGTAGTATTCTATCAGTCTTTCACCAGGACCCTTCGAACGAAAGTGCGTATATTGGTTTGTAAATGTCGGTTGGTCTATTTTGTTCGTATTAAGAAGCATTAGACTTTTTGCCTTCGAACTTCATCAGAATGATCACCCTCAGTGATTAAAAGGCCACTATTGTTTTAAGGTGCCGATGTTTGAATGTCAATGTCACAATGACCTTGAATTTAAAACCTTTACCGCTCAATACCTTGAAAAAAAAAGACCTATTACATTAAACATGCTAGTACCTCTTTTGTTTTCGGACTGAACAAAGGTTAAGGTCAGTGTGACATTAACTGTTAAGAACTTTTTCGTCTTTTTCGTCAATAACTGAAAAAATATTCAGTAACGAGAACCAATTAACCTTTTCAAACTTCAAATGTTAATCAATCTTATTCATTTATATAGTGTAGTACTTTTGATGCCGATGCTTAAAAGTCAAGTGAAGTTCAGGACACAGAGACATTGAATGCTAAACATTATTGCTACTCAATCATTTAAGAATCATTTAAGTCATAACCTTCAAACTTCGAAGGGTGGCCGCCTTTATTGGACGCTGATGCACAAAGGTCAAGGTCAAAGTGACCTTGAATGTATTTAATATTCCTCTCAATAATTTGAGAAACATTTTACGCATAGTCTTAAAATTAGATGAGATGATAGGATCACCGCCATTGAGAAGAAGACCCCTTTGGTATTAGGGCACCAACGCTGAGAGGTCAATGACACAGTGACATAAAATGTAATAATTGTTTCTTTTCAATAACTAAAAACCCGATTTTTCCATAGCATCTTTACTTCATACGAGTATTAACCTCATAAATTAAAAATGTTTTTGGGCGCCTGTGCATAATGAATTGTCCCACAGTGACACCAAATGCAAAATATGTTTCAATGATTTAAGTATGTGCACAAATAAAAATCAGTATTTGAAATTTGTATAAATAGAACGAATGTACAAAGTAATGCCTATGCTACCTTTTTGTGTTTTAAGATATAATACAACATAAAATTGCATTACAAAGGCATATAAATATTGAATTTTCAAATTATCAGAATTATGGACAGCTTAACTGTCCACATGTCTTTTATAAGATTCAGGGATATTATGATAGAAAGGTTGCTTGCAGTTCTTTTACTTACTCAGTGGTTTTCATAGTGTTTACTTATTCTTACTACCAATATCACGTTTAAGATGAGGAGAGACATCATAGGGACATTAAAAAGTTCTTGTTTTAACCAAACTTACATTGAAATAAACTATACGTGTATAATTCGAAGTTCAGTGACTTTTAATGCAGTTCGGTAAATAATAGTTCCTTTTCAATAGAGGTACTTATCAAATCCGATAAAAAGGTGAAACATTTTCGTTTAAATGTAAGATTGTGGCATATCCATTCATGAAGAGGGTCGGGTGATGTCATCAAGAATATCAAAGGGTTCAGAAGCCTTACCTGGAATGCATCCATGGCATGTTATATTCAGAACTAAAGGGGTATGTAACTGCTTACTCATAGCTAATAACACTAGTTGGAATTTAAACAAATAATAAGATTCAATGTTTAACTCAGCAATCAATTGATTTATATTAGCCACATTTATATACTTCTTTACGTAGGACTCATGTGCGAAGAAATATACGAGTTGACGAACCTACCTAACTTTCAGTATAGCTGATTTTTTCTTCCACATTTTAAAGTTTGTAAACATGTATAACTGACTTTTGTTTGTGTGTTTGTGCGTAATCCTGTATACGCTAGTGCGTATGTGTGTGTTTTAGTGAATTGTTGCGTTGGGTGATTTTGATATACATTTAATGTATACATTTGTTGATTAATAGACTTATAAACATAGGCTTAAGAAAGAATCTTGTCGTTTTTACTTTTTGTCACTGAAATATATGCCCTTTATACTTAAAATTGTATCCAAGATCTTTGAATTAAAAAGTAATATGTTGAGAGATAATCATTTTTGATAGGACACGGACAATTGACTTAATAAACATCTTTAACATTTTTACAATAAAATTGGATAAAACTACTATATTTACTCTTTGTAAAACTGTCAAGGCCCCTAATGGGACCCCTTCTGACCCTAGGATCATGATTTGAACAATATTCCTAGAGAACCACATAAAAATGTTATATTCCAAATATGAAAGCTCTAGGGCTTTTGACTTTTGAAAACGATGGATTTGTTTTAGGTTTTTCTATATTTGTTTGTTTGTTTTGGGTTTTACGTCACATCGACATAGTATAGGTCATATCGCGACGTTCCAGCTTTACTGGTGGAGGAAGACCTCAGGTGCCCTTCCGTGCATTATTTCAGGCACGAACGGGTACCTGGGTAGAACCACCGACGTTCCGTAAGCTAGCTGGATAGCTTCCTCACATGAAAGAATCCAAATTCCCTGTCGGGATTCGAACCCACAGAGGTGAGGGGCAAGTGGTTTGAAGTCAACGACCTTAACCACTAGGCCACGGACGCCCCATATTTTTCTATATAACTTTATGAAAAACATATTGGGCCTTTTTAGACCCCAGGTACAATATTTGAACTAACTTTGTAGAGGACCATTTGGTGAAGGTACATCAAATGGTCTGGTTCGTGTAATATATGGAAAGTGCAGTTTTTTCAAATTTTCCAATATAAATCTATGTTAAACTGAGGAGCCCCCTTATGGGCCCTTTTAAACCAAGAGGCATAATTTTAACAATCTTTGTAGAGGACCATTTGATGATATTACATACCAAGTAGCAAATTTCTAGGCTTTGTTGTTTTTGACAAGCAGATTTTTTAAATATCTTTTTAAAAAAAAGTTCGGTTTCCATGGCCACCATTTTTATCAATGGAAATCAATTCTTTTTACAACGATTGTAAAGCTTCATGCAATGAACGTGCCTTACAGGTATTATTAAATTATGCTAAGTGGTATTGGAGGAGAAGTCATTTGAGTGAAAAAGTTAGCGCATCGACGGACGGACGGATGACAGACGTCGGACGACAGACAAAACGATGTCACAAATGCTTTTCTTGTCACACCGTGACAGGTGAGCTTATAATCGATAAGCCCTATGCGGGCCCTTTTGCATCCTAGGAGCATTTTTTAACAAACTTTTTAGAGGACCACTAGATCATGCTACATACCTTATATGAATGCTGTACGCCTTGTGGATATTGATAAGAAGATTTTTAAGATTTCCCTATGTTACTTACACAAATGATGAGACCCCTGGCAGAGCCTTTTTTGACCCTAGGATCTAATTTGAATAGTCTTTGTAGAGGACCACTAGATGATGTTACATACAAAATATCAAAGCTACCTGCCTTGTGGCTTTTGAAAAGAAGATTTTTATTTATTTTTGAACTGATAACCCCCCTGGCAGGGCCCATTTTCAACATAATTTTATTACTCGTTGTAGAGGACCACTAGATCATGTTACATACCAATTATTAAAGCTCTACACCTTTTTGGATTTTTACAAGAAGATTTTCACTATATAACTTTATATAAAACTGATTAACTCCACACCTTCTCCCCGACATGGCCCCCTTTGATCCTATGGTCATTATTTGAACAATCTTTGTATTTCATACAATTTCTCAAGGGTCTACGCAATATTTTTTAAGATATCTCTATAAAAGTTTATATAAAAAATAAGGAGCCAAATGGAAGGGCCCCTTTTGACGCTAGGTTATAATTTGAATATTTTTTAGGAAGACCACTCGATGCTGTAGCATACCAAATATCAAAGCTGTAGGCCTTGTGATTTTGACGAGAAGAATATTTTAATATTTTTTTCTTTAATGTCGATATGACGCTGGGAGGGCCCCTTTATCATCCTAGGGGCAGTATTTGAACTTTCATCGTTGTAGATGACCACTAGATCATGTTACATACCATATTATTGACACGAACATTTTCCCTACATAACTTTGTATAAAAGCAAAAAGCCATCTTGACAGGATCCCTTTTGATCCTGGGGGCATCATTTGAATAATCTTTGTAGAGAACTACTAGATGATGTTAAATACCAAATATCAAAGCTGTAGGCCTTGTGATTTTTGACAAGAAGGATTTTAAAGACATTTTTTAAAAATCGAGTAATCACCATGGCCGGGCCTCTTTTGATCCTATGGGCATAATTTGAACAATCCTTGAAGACGACGACCAGATCATGTTACATACCAAATATCAAGGCTCTAGGCCCTGTGGATTTTGACGAGAACATTTTTAAGATTTCCTTTATAACTATAGATAAAACAGATGATCGCCTTGCAGGGCCCCTTTTGACCCCAGGGTCATAATTTGAACAATCTTTGTAGAGAACAATTAGATCATGTTACATAACAAATATCAAGGCTCTTCACATTCTGGTTTTTGACAAGAGGTTTTTTTAAAATTTTGATTACAAATCTCTTTAGGTTGTTTAAGTTGCCATGGCAACCGGACTTCTTCAAGGAATTTATTTTGTTAATTACTTTAGTAGAGCTTCATGTAAGAAACATGCCTGCCAAGTTTCATGTCATTTTGCCAAGCGGTATTGGAGGAGAAGTCATTTAAATGAAACAAATTAACGAACGAACGGTTGGACTGACGGACGATAGACAACACAATATCACAAAAGCTCACCTTGTCACTTTGTGACAAGCGACCTTAAAATAAATCTTAAACAGTACATGGAGGTTACAAATATTAATGCGCAATACTTCTGTAAACGTATTTTGTTATGGTTAATCGTCGCACAACATAGTTTAGGTCATATGGCCAATTTACAGTTTTACAGGTAGAGGAAGACCTTAGGTACCCTATTCTTAATTATTCAAATTATCGACCAGTTTCACTTATAGGTATAATAGCTTTATAGGTAAAGTTATGGAACGAATTTTGTTTAAGTATATCTATAACTATTTTCATGAAAATAATCTAATCTATAAAAATCAGTCAGGTTTCCTACCTGGACATTCTACAGTGTATCAATTAATTGACATTTACAATCAAATTTGCAAAGCGTTTGATGACAAGAAATCGACTTGCATCGTTGTTTGTGATATTAGTAAAGCCTTTGATCGTGTAGGGCATAAGGGTTTGATTTTCAAATTAAAACAATATGGAATTACAGACAATATTCTTAAATGGATGTCTAGTTACTTAATAAGTCGAAAACAAATAGTATTCGTTGGATCTACTTTTTTTCTGAGGAAAGAACCATTAATGCCGGCGTGCCACAGGGCTCAGTACTTGGACCTCTACTTTCTCTTATTTTCGTGAACGATATTACAGATTCTCTGTCTAGTGTAACACGTTTATTTGCCGACGATAGTTCATTATCAGTTAGTTCTAATAATATTAACCATATCGAATCAACATTAAATGACGACCTAAATATATTATCAAAATTGGCAAAACAATGGCTTGTTAAATTTAATCCGACTAAAACAGAAGTATTATTTCTCTCTCTTACAGACAAAACGTGAACGTACCTTCACTTTTCTTTGATAATACACGCTTAACGTTTGTTGACAACCATAAACACTTGGGTATTACATTTAGTAAAGATGGTTCATGGCATGAACATATTACAAATATAGCATCTTCCGCCACAAAAGTTTTAGGAATTATTCGAATGTTAAAGTTTAAGCTTAAACGGAAAACTTTGAATCAAATATATATATCTTATCTTAGACCAATTATTGAATATGCATCTATTGTTTGGGATAGCTGCACAGTTTTAGACAAAATTCAGTATGACGCTGCACGAATTGTAACTGGCTTAACAAGTTCTGTATCAATAGAACGTTTACTAAAAGAAATAGGGTGGGTTTCATTATCAGACAGAAGAAACATGCAGAATTTCATTTTGGTATATAAATATAGCCGTGGAGAATTACCCTGTTATATGTCTGAACTTTTTCCAAATACCGTTTTAGAAGCAAATACATACAATTTGAGAAACAATTCTGACTATGCTACTATGGCACGCCGGCTTGAAATCTATGCTAAATCTACAATACCTTCATCTATCAATTTTTGGAACAATTTGGACACTCATTCTCGTACTGTAGACACATTATCAGCTTTTAAACGTAATCTAAAAGAAAAATTTAAACCCCCAATAGTTCCCCCATTCTTCATTTCTGGTGAAAGATTTTCACAGGTCCATCATGCAAGAATACGTAATAAATGTAGTAACCTAAACTCCGACTTATTTTACAACCACTTACGTGATAATCAAAAATGTGACTGTGGATATACCATGGAGGATGCAGAACACTATTTTTTTCAAATGTCCGTTATTTCATCAACTATTCATTAATACCCGCCCATATCATCCTTTAAGTGTAAAGAAACTGCTGTTTGGAATTGATAACTTGTCGCCTGAAGATAATGACATTATTTTTGGGCATGTTCAAAAATATATAAAGAATACGAATCGTTTTAGAACTTAATATATCTTAATGATAATTAAATATAACTCCATGTTTCTATTTTTAATGCTGGTCCAGTAACGGAAATGGAGGCGAAACCTGTTTTTTTTTTTTTTTTCGAGGAAAGGTGAACAGAAGTTTGGATGTTTTTAGAATGTGTGTTTATTTTTTTTTCTATTTCATGATATTTAAACCTCATATCAATTTTTTTTTTCTCTCATAATATTGTCATCTAAATACTTTGATATCAATATATATATATATATAGAAACAAACTGTAAATATTGCTCTGATGATGCGCAAATAACATATATTTTCTTGTTTCTTCGCCTAACACATTAATTACGTAAACAAGTGTTGTATCTTTATAATGAACAGTTTGTTTGTTATTCAAACTTGCCTGGGAAGGGCCTTTATTAATGTTGGTAAAACTTGTGGCCCAACCCATTTGCTTCAAACTGTTAACATACATGTTTCCTTATCCGTATTTATTGTATTCTGTTTTGTATTAATGTAATCTTTATGTTACATGTACATGTTTCAAGCAATAAAATATGATTAAATCAAAATCTTAATTATTTCATGCACATGAAAATGCTCCAAATTCTCTCTCAGTACTCGCACTCAAAGCAATGAGAGGCAAGTGGTTCTTATAAGAACTATATGAAAATGCGTTCGCTGACAAAAATGATCTTGTGGTTCTGACATGTCGTCTCAAACTCCTCACAGTGATTACCTCCCTTGGCAGAATTGTAATCACTGCCTTCAAAGACGTCACATGATGATGAAAGTCACATGACGTAACGTCGAAATTCAAATGTAAAATATCGACCGTTACATAGAAAGTCTAACGTCATTTTTCTCTTTCTGTTTTATTTTTAACTTTAGTGCCTACGTTCGATATAGTTTATCAAAAAAATTATCAAAAGTATACAAAATAACGAAAAATATATTCAAAAGCTAAACAATTTAAAATATCAAAATATTGTCTTGGTAGAAAATATTCTCATAATTTTTAATATTATTTCTAAATATTCATATTATTCATTTATTTATTCATAAACATTGTTAAATAAATGAGAGAAAAACTTATCTGATAGATAAAAGCAGTAGATAAAACAATTTTTGAAAAAATATAGTATATCAGAAATTATGATATATTGGACTTTGGTGGCAAGAATTAAGGGGAGATCACTGCGTGGAGATTGATGTCGTCTATGTAATAATTAGATCAAACAACGTAGATAAGACGATTGGAAATGTAAAATGGTTGAAATGTTTAGGTGTAGAAAATGCTATTTAGTGTCTGAAGGTCTCTTGTTTATTACATAAACATAAAGCATTTAAGTCAGATACCAGTGAAGGGAAAAACTACAAAAAGCCTCAATATAGATATAGGGTATTTTTTACAGTAAATATGAAATTCTCTTGGGCCATACTAATGGATTTGTGTGCAGCCTTGTATGATGGCATGCTTTTAGTCTCGTGTTGATCATGAAAAAACTGTAAATGTTTTTGATTGTTATACTCGTACAAAGTGCATGGCAAGGTGTTAGACAAATAAATTTGTTCTATGTGTTGTTTGATTATTTTTCGGAGAGAGAAAGGGGTGGGGGTCATTTTTCATATTTGAAGTCCCTTTAACCGCGTTATCAAACTGCAAAAAATGCATGCTTATTGTATCGTATCTGTTACGTATTTGATAGCACAAAATACAATCATGCAACACTATTCGTCAAAATGAAATTAGTTAGAAATTTTAATGACTGCAAATAAAAATGTATTTTTACATTTCAAGGGGGCAAGTAGAAAATTAGCATTTTGTGGTGGTACATTGATATCCCAGAGATACGTGATAACTGCTGCTAACTGTATCATCGAGTTTAAGTCAATATTTGGTGTTCCTTTTTCGGCAGAAAATGTGGAATTTTTACTGGGTAAAATGTATTTTTATGCTCCTTTAAGTGAAAACAAATGAAAATACACCAAAGTTGTAAATTCTTGTCACAAAATAGTTTCTTACTTACTAACAAAATTAACTTTTTGTTTTTGACCAAACTTTGAAACGCCATAAAAATCTTTCTGTTTTAATAGTAAAGGATATGATTATGCATTTCCAAGTATTGTATGTTCACCTGGGCCAAATTTTTCAGTACTTGTAAGCTAAGGGGTGACAGAAATATATTTTAAGTCATTATTAAACATAACGCTAACATCTACACTATGTTATATACAAGAAGAGATTAAGGATAATTCTTGATTTTCAATATATTGAAAATATGTTATACTACAAATATATGTTTCATACATAAGAGTAAATGAACGTTTAATGAACAATATCTTGCTTTGAATGAATTCAGGCACAACAGATTGTCTAGGAACTATGAATGAGGGGGAAAGAAGAACAGTACGAACCTTCACTGTTCATCCATATTACGAAGACAGAGGATTTTATGATAATGATATAGCATTGATAGAATTGGACAGTTTGGTTGAATACAACGATTATATACGTCCTATATGTGTTGAACCGGCGGAATACAATGACTGGACGTTTCTAAAAAACAGTGGCTCCTTTGGTCGTGTGTTTGGGAAAGTCGCTGGATGCGGTGCAACAAAGTCAAGTTTTTTTAGAAGCAAATTGATGCCCGAGAAACTGATGGTAGTTATTTCAGATATTAATACAATGTATTAAGATTCAAAGAAAGTACATGAGTAAATGTTTTTGTCCGTTTTGCTGAACACTGGTTAGTAATACTTTATTAGATTTATTTGTATTAAAATGATATAAGCATGAAAAGAGATTTAGTGATCCTAACAATCAGTTGTAAGATTAGTGGTTTATAATGGTTAGCACTGTAATTGTGCACGGTTGTTACTTTGTTCGTATGTTAAATATAAAGACAGTCGTGATTTACAGAATAAGTTGTGAAAAAAATATATGCCAAGTTTTAATGAAACAAATGACCGGATATAACCTTTTTTATTTATTATACGTTTTAACATAGTTACATAGATTTAACGTACACATCAATACATAATAATATCAAAGATATAAAAGATTTTGTTTATATTGAATGTTTTATCTTATGTGTAATTTTCACTTAGAATGTCATTATTTTTAACTTCAATAAATTATAACAATGACTGAAAGTTAAAAAAAAGAGGATTGAGGTGAGAAAAGAGTGATCATTCCAATGTATCGTTTACACATATTTTAAGTTGTAATTAAATCTTTATATATGTTAATGACGTAATGTTTGTAGTAAAAAGTACATACTATAAGTTTAAAAGGGACATTTTCTTAAGATATTACTCAACCTTGTTTTGAATAATTGCAATTTCGTTTTTCAAAGTTATTCTGAGTTTTAGATATGACAGAAAATGATCGAAAAAGAAGTTATTTTTATCTATTTTTCAGTTGAAAAATAAAAAACATCATTAGATAAATAATGAAATTTATTACATCACTCTGCTAAATGTTTTGCAAAATACCAAAACGTTTTTAAGCTGAAAAGAACATGCGTTACATACGTTAAAAAGTTTCCTAGTCTATTCCACACATTTTGAACAAATTGAACAAATTGAAATTCCAAGAATAGATGTTCCATACTTTCAGGTTGCATGAACAGAAATTACAGAAGTTTGTTCTCGATAGCTTCATTTTGAATTGATATTTATTTGTTGTTTATTATTAATTGTACGAATTGGAAATTTATCCTTATAAGTTCTTATTTTGGTATCAATAGTAACTTAAACATTTGGCTTTAAACAAAGTTCTATTTTATATCATTATTTTCCAAACATATTCCCATTTATTTTCAGATTTTTTTTTGTTTTGGTTAAACCTGTATTTGCTTTGTATTTAGTAACTTATTTGGTGTTTTATTTTCTTTGATGTAACTAGGGTCTCTATTTGGAGTGTAAATAACATTTTTATCTTTACGAATTTGTTTTATATTGAGATTTATGCGCGTGATGATTTGGTAGAATTTTAGCAATGCATTACTTTCTAAATTATATAATTCTTTGAAAGGCTAAAAAGTGTAGAAGTATTTTCCACAGAAATGTTCAAAGCTATGAGATGCAGTGTTATGCCAATAAACCAAGTTATTAGGATAAAGGTCAGGGTCGCACTTATTGGTTATTGAAAAATGCTTGTTCGGAGCAAAACTTCTACATTCATCTGGGGATTTTGAATGTGATTTGGCACAAATTTCAACATTTTGAGGCTTAGTATAGCGCGCATAATCTAGGTCCATGCTACCAAAGTCAAGGTCATATAGAGAGGTCAATGCTAATTTGAAACAGAATATATGTACAGGAATTTATTGATGAATTGAAACAAAAATGATAACCACCATGACTACAATTGTGACACATGCAATGTAGGTTAATATTTGCAAGGTCTCAGTCACTGACGATGATAAAAACCAGATATTGTACGTATATTTTCTATAGCATATCTTCTATGTGCAAATATATAATACCCACATCTCTGTCAAAAGCTTTTGTGACGGGCGTTTTATTTCTATGCAACATCGTTCAAAGTATAATCTTTTTACTTCGGCAAAGGAATGTCAAACTTATCCTTATTTTCACTGAACTTCATAATTTTATGATGTATACTTTTAAACATCAAGATGTAATTTAATCGCTAGCATTAAAAGTACGTGCTTTATTATAGATCATGTATCTTGTGATTAAGGTTGTAACCATATTTAAGTGAAAATGTGTATATAATTATGGTTCTAAAACAATTTTCAAACAACAAAAAATATGTAAAATATGTATTGCAATTATTTGTCCACATTATGTGTATTCATTAAAATTGGTGCATTCATTTCTTATTGAAATACTTGACTTGGACTTTATAGAAAATAAATTTGTTATTACCTCAATTTAATAATCGGTTAATGTCTTTACAAATATTGCTTTTTGGACCGTACAATATTGATAAATCTTCATTTGAGCATTATATTTATGATATAAAACCATAAAAATAAGTTACAGAATCTTTAATATTTTACATTTTAATAGTTACCACAAAATCTAGCAATATGTGACAATATAATGTATTACTTACTCAAAATACTAGTATAACATTGAATTAACATTATACCAATAACAATTAACGTCAAAGTTATTTATTTTATGTGAAGGACTCATTTATTTATATCTTATACATGTTCTTGTCGTATTGATTTTACAAAAAAGAAGTCCAGGTATTTGATTAACAGACTATCGTAAGATATTCAGGTCGAAATGCGTATATGTATATTAGAAGCAAAAGTATTATCGAGTACACCGATTACAAAGTAATCAATTAAATGATGATAAGAATTACTTATATTAAGTTTTTTGTCAATTTGAATTTAAAAATGTTTTTTACTTAGTTCAAGTCTTAGTTTAATAATATTTATAATATATACCTATTTCATTTTATAGGATGTATATGTTCCGTATGTAGACAGAGAAACATGTCTTGAATCAATGGGCAAAAAACGCTTTAGACTCACTGACACTATGTTTTGTGCTGGGAGTGATGTAAGTATAATATATTTGTAAGAATTTGTTTCTTTACATTAAACATACTCTAACGTTGAGTGTTTCGGTTTTGCTTTGAAATATAATATGAAATGTAAGACAATAGACTGAACATAATAAATTGTGAATAGGACACGTACTGTTTAAAATCTAGCTAAGTAATGTTTAAAATAAATTATTTTCATTTCTGGAAGCACTCATTACTATTGAAGATAAATCTCAAAATAACACACACACACACGCACACACGCACCCACGCACTAACACGCCCGCACACGCACACAAATATAACAAATAATAATATTATCGAGCTCATTAGCTAAAGTTTTTCGATATTTTCTATTTCTTTGCAAAATGTATTAGAAAAATAAGCACAAGCATGTCTAATGTATTTGAATGTTTAACAAAAGTTTAGCGGCTATAGCAAACATACATTAGTTTATCATAATAAACCATCCTCTTAAAAGGAGACAGAAGCAAAGGCTTGTTTCTTCTTTTTGGATTTTCAATCCAATAGTCTATTGTTGTCCTCGAAATAAACACACTAAGCAGTTCTAGGTGCACAGATTTTCTCATTATGAAGAAAAGACTGGAAGTTGCCTAACGTGGGTCAGAATAGAACATTTTAGACTTAACGCTCAATATCGCCGTGAAATATGGGAACGAAACAATACCCATCATGTCAAAGACACCTTCCATGGCTTGTTCTTGCCATGCAATTTGCTGAAAAAACTAGTGATTCTGTTTGCTTTTAATTTTAATTTAACAAGCAAAAATTACATTACATATCAAAACAGAATGATATATTATTTTTATAGACAAATATGCTGGAAATTATCACCATAAAAAACTTTCATTTTTTGTCATTCCTTTGCCTGTGTTTCCTTTTAAAATATTTATGTTTACCAGCATTTATTTTTCTCCCAAATCAAAGATTGGTAAAACTGGGGACAGTTGCGAAGGGGACAGTGGAGACGGCTTAATCATGGCAACAAGCACAAGATGGGTTCTTACTGGAATCGTTTCTTGGGGCAGGGGATGTGATGTGGATAAATACTACGGTGTTTACACAAATGTTGGCATGTTCTATAATTGGATAGAGAGCGTTACAAAATTTAACGAAGAGGAGGTGCCAGACTTTATGAATCATAATTGATCTGGGACAGTGAATATTTGTTGCTTTGACATGACACAATAGACATTTTTATTCTTTGCTTATGTTTTTTTTTGTAAATATATTTGATAGACAGTGATAAGCATATATTAATTTAATCTTGATCAATATTTGATGAACTTTTATTTGTGTATTTTAAAATATTTTCTGTCCCATCATGCAAAAATGCCCTTTAAGAAAAATAATCTCAATGTAAAGAAACGGCATAAAAACAAGAGATATTTTGTTGTTTCTGTTTTTTTAGTATGGAAGGAATTGCGTTAAGAATTTATTCAATCTGATTATTATAAGAACTATTGAATGATGGAATATTTCATAAAGTAAGGAAACGCAATAAAAGATTTACTGGTATATGTCTATACTTAAAGTCTATCAAGCTGATATTGTTGTATTTGTCATATAATTAAAAGTAAAATACAAGTAACAAGTTTTATTTTATGCTTACTAATGAATTATAGAAATTTATCAGTGATTTAAAATTGATAATCCACTGTTTCAAAACAGTGAAATTACCAAAATGGTAATTTCACTGTTTTGACTGAACTACTTTTTTCTAATTGAATTACCTCCCTTACTTTATTATGCCCCCCTTCGAAGAAGAGGGGGTATATTGTTTTGCTAATGTCGGTCTGTCTGTCTGTCTGTCGGTCCGTCCGTCGGTCTGTCGGTCTGTCCGTCGGTAGACCACATGGTTTACGCTGATTATCTTGAAAAGTATTTATCACAAAGTCTTCATATTTTACATAGTAATTGGTCATAACTAGTAGATGACCCCTATTGATTTTGGGGTCACTAGGTCAAAGGTCAAGGTCACAGGGACCTTAAATGTGAAAATGCTTTCCGCTGATTATCTTAAAAAGTATGTATCACAAAGTCTTCATATTTCACACAGTGATTGGTCATTACTAGTAGATGACCCCTATTGATTTTGGGATCACTAGGTCAAAGGTCAAGGTCACAGGGACCTTAAATGTCAAAATAGTTTCCGCTGATTATCTTTAAAAGTATGTATCACAAAGTCTTCATATTTCACACAGTGATTGGCCATTACAAGTAGATGACCCCTATTGATTTTGGGGTCACTAGGTCAAAGGTCAAGGTCACAGGGACCTTAAATGTCAAAATGGTTTCCGCTGATTATCTTTAAAAGTATGTATCACAAAGTTTTCATATTTCACACAGTGATTGGTCATCACTAGTAGATGACCCCTATTGATTTTGGGGTCACTAGGTCAAAGGTCAAGGTCACAGGGACCTTAAATGTCAAAATGGTTTCCGCTGATTATCTTTAAAAGTATGTATCACAAAGTCTTCATATTTCACACAGTGATTGGTCATCACTAGTAGATGACCCCTATTGATTTTGGGGTCACTAGGTCAAAGGTCAAGGTCACAGGGACCTTAAATGTCAAAATGGTTTCCGCTGATTATCTTTAAAAGTATGTATCACAAAGTTTTCATATTTCACACAGTGATTGGTCATCACTAGTAGATGACCCCTATTGATTTTGGGGTCACAAGGTCAAAGGTCAAGGTCACAGGGACCTTAAAATGTGAAAATAATTTCTGCTGATTATCTTAAAAAGAATTCATCACAAAATTTTTCATATTTCACATAGTGATTGGTCATCACTAGTAGATGACCCCTATTGATTTTGGGGTCACTAGGTCAAAGGTCAAGGTCTCAGGGACCTTAAAATGTGAAAATGGTTTCCGCTGATTATCTTGAAAAGAATTCATCACAAAGTCATCATATTTCACATAGTGATTGGTCATCACTAGTAGATGACCCCTATTGAATTTGGGGTCACTAGGTCAAAGGTCAAGGTCACAGGGGCCTTAAATGTCAAAAGGGTTTCCGCTGATTATCTTGAAAATTATTCATCACAAAGTCTTCATATTTCACCTAGTTATTGTTCATAAGTATTAGATGACCTCTATTGATTTAGGGGTCATTAGGTCAAAGGTCAATGTCACATGGGCCTTAAATGTCAAAATGGTTTCTGTTGATTTTTCCATAATTGAACACTTCCATGTACCCATTTTTGGCAAGTTTCTTTAATAAAATTACCAATTATGTGAGTCAATGGCTAGAAAGGGGGGTATATGTGTCGTTCGACATTCTTGTTCCAATTATTTTTTCCCTTTGATATTCATGATTTTTTTTTTATATTATTTAAATATCTATCATTTATACAAATATATATGATATAAATTAATACTAAAATATCAACATACAATATAGTTTTATTAAAAAAAAAAATCATCACATAAGATATATTACCTCCCTTTTATCACCGTCTGCTATCATAATTTTACAATGGAGGATTTAGAAGAAATTTGAGATTTTGAATTTGAAGCATTTTTTGGACATCTTTTCGATGAAGAAGCACACTTTGAGGAGGTAACATCCCAAGAAATACAAAACGATGAGAAAAAACAAAATAAGCCAAATGAAAGAACATTCAGAACAGTAAATGTTGACCGATAAATATACCAGCCTATAAATCCGGTTCTGACATAATATCTAACACTGTCTAATGTCCTTGAAAAAGTTCACACGTGCAAAATAATGTACACGTTTTGTTTTATCACAAAACGTAAAATGTTTCCAAAATCCTCTCTGTTAAGTAAAATATTTCAACTGACTGATAATTATATACCAGTCTATAAATTAAATAAAATTCCTCAACTTAGTTGAACAAATTCTGTATAAAAATATCAATAAATTTTTCAATTATCAAAACATGTGATCTCTAAGTCGACGAAATACAGAATGACCAAAATGCCCAGGAAACAAATGGTCAAAAATATTTATCGCCAAAAACAGAAGCGACCAATAAAAAGATGTTTATTGCTGACGTAAATCTACCGCCAAAAACAAAAGCGACCAATAAAAAGATGTTTATTGCTGACGTAAACCATAAACAAAATTCGACTAATGAAAAAACACTGAAAAGGTCAACTTCATTCAACCTTATAATTAAGTTATTTTTAAAACAAAATAATCCAGTTGATCAATTTTTAGAAACTTCAGTCAACAAAAACACAAAAAAGAACAGTGATATCAAATATTTTAACGCATTCCTACAGTCTAGAAATGAAATAAGAAAACCAGAATTCATTCCACCAGACACTTTGAACACATATCTTTGTGAATTTCTGCTAGGTGCAAGCAAACCTGATGGAAAAGATTATGAACCTACTACTTTAAGGGAATTTGTGAGCTCCATTGACAGATATCTTAAGTCAAAAAGTTCGAAAATGTCAATTATTAATGATGTTGAATTCTGTAAAACTAGAATGGTCTTAAAGAGAAAGCAAAAACAGCTGAAAAGCTTGGGATATGGCAATAAACCAAAAACAGCAGCACCTCTAACAGAAGAACACTTAAATAAAATGTACGAATGTAAAACCCTGGGTGACGACAATGCACATGCTCTCATTCATTCTCTTTGGCTCATCTGCACAACATATTTTGGAATGAGAACTGGTCAGGAAATCTGAGGTGGGGAGACATAAATTTAGAAATGGATGACCAAACAGGAGAAGAATACTTGATTTTGGACACAGAAAGGCAAACGAAAACAAGGACTGTTGCAAATCCAAAGGATGCAAGGTAAAAATATTCTTTAAAGATACAAAAAAAAAACAAGTTTGAGTACAGTAGAGCTATAAAAAATAAAATTCGCAATTGTCAGTCTGCAATAATATAATGCATGTTTTTTATTTTCTTTGAAAATGTATCTTCTCCTTAAAATTATTTAAACCAAGTTGTCAATAATTTGTTACAACAACATAAATATTATTATTTTATGAATGATAATCAATGTGCAGATAAGAAAAGAGCAAACTGAACTTTTTTTTATTAATTTTACAGGCTTATCAAACCAAAAGCATTCAGCAATCCAGAAAAATCCACAGCGAGACCCTGTTTACCTGTACAAATTATACAGTCTAAAGCGCCCAAATGCTTCAAATACAGATGACAGCCCATTTTTTTCTGGTTCCCGGTAGTCATCAACAAAAATGCTGGTTCAGGAACTCACCAATGGTAATTAACAAAATCTATTCAATCATGAAAGAAATGAAAGAAGATGCAGGGATTGAAGCCCCACGCATAACCCCATATAGGTAAGAATTTACTCAGTGTATTGGTGACTTGTATTTTCAGTGAAATACTACTATTATTCAAGTGATGAAATAAAAATGATATTACAACTACTGTATATTCGTATAAAAAAATATGAAATAAATTCAAACAGAAAAGCTAATTAAAAATCAACAATTGTTACTTACAACTTAGAAGCATCTCTCTTGTTGTAGCACAACACACGGTTACACATGCAGGAATTCAAAAAAGATATCATTTTTGATGACAATTATTGATTGCTGATGATAAATTCTTCATAAATTTTACATTGATGTCAAAATGAATACACAGTTGATAACAGGCGTTCGGCACAACCTCAAACTAACTGTAGATGAGACAAAATACAAAATCAGTGATCTCGAGTGGAGTAACAAACTAACCTGACTTGTTTTGTTTTTTATCTTCAGTGCAAGGAAGCGTCTAATTCAAAAGCTGTCTGATGATGGCGTGCCAGCCAATCAAATTGTTCAAATATCCGGCCACAAGAATGTCAACAGTCTGAATAATTACAGTAAACTGAACAATGCACAATGTGAAAATATTTCAAATATTCTAACTGATAGGCCATCAACATCAAATCAGTCTGTAGCTCCATGCAATTCAGCACTTGATACCAACACCCCACCCACAACATTTAATAGAAAGAGTGAAGGTGCTGCATCTAGACGTTTCGGCAATATCAGGTTAACGCCCCCTGGGGGCATTTGCATTTCATTATTTTTTTTACCTCTGTTAGTGCGCGATTGTTTTCTTCATCTGTGTCATTAAGACGCTTGCATATTGTAATTAGTCACGTGATACATATATATATATATATAGAAGTTGAAATCTCAAAATAATCACATGATGCTTAACCCCCTCCCATGAACTAAAATACAATTTAGCAAGTTAATTATTATTTAAATAATTGGATAAAAAAAGCATTATGGCCACATAAGGTCATACGCTTGCTGGACCAATAATATACAAAAGCTAAAATATTTCTGAATTTCGTCCACCACGAAGTTCTACATAGTTATATAATGTAATGAGTAAATTGACAAGTATAAATAAGTTGTAGCGGATTTCACGTGAATGAGAAAGCACGCTTTTTTCGTGTTTTTCTTTTTTTATTTCGTGGGCCACAAAAGGGATACATTATGTGAACTAATAGTAATTTTAGGTACTGATTTAAATCTTAATTTTGAAATGGAAGCTTATTTATTTTTTGTGGTTATTTGACGGATTATGTGAAATTCATATTAAATAGTAAAGGGAAAATTGCCTACAATGTAAAACAACGATACGCATACATTTTCGTCCCGGGTAGGTTACCTTTTTGTTTTAAATATGGTTCATTGTAAGAAAGTATTTTCAGACATTTCCTTCAAAACAATGCCCAGTCAAATTTGGTAGAATAAGTAACGGAATGAATGTTATTAAAGCTGAAAGTATGGTCCATATCGACATAATATATATTGTCAAAAGGCAAATGCCCCGGGAGAGTTTACGACTATGTTAAACTAGAGTAGGCAAACGTCCCGGGAAAGTTGCCTTTTTATTGTAAATGTCATTCATTCCGTAATATATATATTCAGACAGTACCCCCAAAACATTGCCAAGCCCCATTTTTTAAAATTATAAAGGCCCCCGAAGAAAACCCTCTGTCGGATAGGGTATTATACTACGATAAAAATGTACAACACGTTGTGCCTGGTTTATACGTCTATTCAAACTACTAACGCCTATACTACAAAACATAGGAAGTGACGTCCTCTAACGTCACGCATACGTTGGCGTTATTTAACGGCACATGCATATTAGCGCAATTCCCGACATTCTGGGGGCCGCAAAATGATAAATTATTAAATATTAAAATAAATATCAGTTAATTTCAACAAATCTTAGATATAGATTCTAACTCCTTTCTAAAATACATTTAAATAAAAAGTCATTGTTTTAAAATAACACAGATGTCTCTCAATTGATAATTCATATCTTATATATGTTTATAATCTGTGTTCGCGAAATTGTAACTTCAATAATAACTGTACTCATTTCTCTTTAACGTTTCTCTACGTGTCGTAATCTATGAACGCTTCATGTGGGGTGCTTGATTGTAAAGTTGCAGTCTGTGCTTGATTTGTGGGTTGATATTCGGGTGAAGACTGGGTTGACTCGCTAGCACCGATATTTAGATTCGAATCTAGACTACTTTCACATATACTAGTGTGATGTTTTCTTCTACATTTGAAGCACTTGTAAGTTGATGGACAGTTAATGACTTGGTGGTTGATATTCAAGCAATTAAAACATAAATGCTTATTTCTTAATATGTCTTTTCTAGCAATCACATCAGTTACTTTTGTACAGTTTTTGGTAATGTGAAATTCGTTGCAAAATATACACTGTTCCTGGTCATCAAACATTTCGCGTGCGGAATTCTGTGTCACGTGACTTCCGGTTCCTGTTTTCTGTCTGGCGCCCGTGAAAAACGACGCTGTAGTTCTATAACCAGCTAAATCATCTGTAGTCTGTCCGGCCTCCATGATATTCAATTCACGGTATAACGCTTTTCGTAAAGTTTCTAATAACCACTCATCGCTGCCATTTTCTCGTGCTAAACTCTTTCGAATTTCTGCCGGAAGTTTGTCTATAATGACTGGTACTAAAAGCGTTCCATATGTATTTTGATTTTGGCCTAGGGACTCCAATCCACGGATATAAGCTTCTAATTTGTCGATATAATTTCTCATACTGTATAGAGTATTGCTCGGGGCTGGCAGGTTTAGTAATGCCTGTATATACGCATGCATGATTTTATGAGACTGTCCGAACCTCTCCTTCAGTAAATCGACTGCTTGAATGTAATTTGCATGCGTAAGTGCAAATCCTTGAATAACTTGAGCCGCACTGCCTTCTAGTTGCGTCTTCAAATAATTAAATTTTTGTACTTCTGTAAGATTCGGGTTTTGATGAACAGAGGAATCAAAAGCATCCCAAAAACTTTGCCATTCGAGAATGTCACCACTAAAGACAGGCGGTGATAATTTCGGCAGTCTGTGATAAAGCGACGTGTTTGAATGAAATGTACTCACATTTTTCAAAGAACTGTTACCATTATTCACGTTATTATTTTCGATCAGGGAACCACTTCCGTCTTTGTTCTGGTTTTGCGGGTTAGTTGGTTCGCTATAAGCATTCTGTTGTTCTTCAGTGTTGCTTTTCCTTTTTTCGCTATAAGCTCGAAGTTCTCTCACCTTTATCTCCAACGTTAATCCATATTCTTCACTGTTTACTAACTCCTCCTCGATGTCGATTACTTCCGTTAGTTCTAAAATCTTTTCGTTTAAAGATTTGATCGTCTCTGCTTTTCTGACAATGGATTCTAGAATTGCGTTAAATTCTATCATCGATGAATTCTCTCTCCCCCGTTCAATTCGTTCAAGCTGAATTTCTACACATCTTCGTTGACCCACTCTCACTGATCGCAATTTATCTATCTTCATAATGTTTTCGTCACGGCACCAATGTCGGATAGGGTATTATACTACGATAAAAATGTACAACACGTTGTGTCTGGTTTATACGTCTATTCAAACTACTAACACCTATACTACAAAACATAGGAAGTGACGTCCTCTAACGTCACGCATACGTTGGCGTTATTTAACGGCACATGCATATTAACGCAATTCCCGACACCCTCTTCCCGGGGAGAACTTCCCCTTCAGTAGCATTTTAATATAGAATGAAATATATCTGTCGCTATATATTTCTCTGGTTTTCTGCCCCGGGTGAGATAACCAGAGTATATATATAGCGACTGATATTTATAAAGCATTACTTACATGCTACTGAAGGGGAAGTTCTTCCCGGGAATAGGGTTTTCTTAGGGGGCTTCAATGCTTAAGAAAATGGGGATTGGCAATCTTTTTGGGGAAGCGTCTTAATGACTTATTTTTACGGAATGAACACATTTACCGGTGAAGGCAACTCACCCGATAAAGATTTCTTATATGCAGATGTAATGGTAGGAATAGCACCCGGGTGATTTACCTTCTAGCATATATGTATACGTTCATTCCGTAAAATGTCATTCAGATACTTCCCCCAAAACAATGCCAAGCCCCGTTTTTTAATTATAAACGCCCCCGAAGAAAACCCTCTTCCCGGGGAGAACTTCCCCTTCAGTAGCATTTTAATATAGAATGAAATATATCTGTCGCTATATATATACTCTGGTTTTCTGCCCCGGGTGAGATAACCAGAGTATATATAAGACAGCTATAATATTTCTGCATATACAGCATGTCACTGAAGGATAAGATTTCTCAGGGAAGAAAATGGCATTTGCAATCTTTTGGGTGAAGTGTGTTAGTGAATTCAATTTACGGAATGAATAAATGTTGTGTACAAAGCATGCAAAACATGTTGTGTTTCTTCTAGACATTGAATTTTTAAGAATATTGCTTTTTGCCTTCGTTAAATGCTGTTATATTTTTTGACTGGGATAAATTTGATAGTTTATGCACGTGACCTTCCTGCTCACATGTTGTTGTATTAGGTTTATTTTAGCTCGGAGCCGGAAATTCCATATGTCCGAGATCTCAGAGTCCATGCCGGTCCACTCTAGAAGTCTCATCGGGGACGTTTTTTTCATGCCGATCTTCCTAAGTCCTGTACTTTGTTCGATGGAGGAAAGACAGTACCGGAAAAGCATCAAGTTCCGTGACGGCTCCAAACAGGCGGTTAACATAAAACGGCTCTTGATAGCGCCACCCTCCAGAGTTAGTCACGACAGGTCAACCAATCACCTCTGGTACTTGAGATGATTTGACCTTGACCTGCCGTGTGCCTTCTCCGCGACGTGCACGCCTCTGGAGGCATTTGGAGAACTTCCTGCTCACAGGCATTTTAGAGTGTTATTTATACTTTTTGAAGGCAAGCGTCTACATGACCCAGATCACACCTAAACGGCAAATGCCCCCAGGGGGCGTTAACCGGATATTGCCGAGGTTTTTCATTAATAGCCATTTCCCTGGAAATGTCACATTTAATTTTCATTCCTCTACAACTTCAACACAAAAGCTGTCACAGCAGGTGAATCCAAGGACTGAATCAGAAGTTTGCAGCGCTGACAGCTCGCCACTGCACCAAAAAAAATACCAACGGATATCGGACAGTGACTGACTTGAAATTCACTAATTAAATCCAAAGAAGTGTACAAATGTTGCTCACAGAAGAATGAAAACATTTACTGAATTAACTGAGATTGTTTAAACTCGTTTTAGCGTCACATGTACTTGTAACTTGACCAACATGGCCGCTCTTGTTATGAATGAATTTTACATGTATTGAAACTTGAATTAATCCGCTTTCATATTTATTGTAAATATGTTTAAAGTGTATTTGATTTTGTTACGAATGAAAAGAATAAAAGAATTATATGTTTTAAATGTGTATTGAGTTCGTTTCAATGGCAATAATGCCGTAAAAATAAAGGAAACAATATATGCATTATTTCATGTGCGGAGTTACAAATTTGGCAAATGATGTTCTCCTTGAAAAGGGGCTCCCAACGGGGTATGTATTAATGATGCGCACGTGTAAAATAAAAAAAATGACAACTTTTGGTTAAAGTTAGCATAAAATAAAAAGAAAAATTTGTTTATTTCTGTGAAAGATTATAATTTATTTCATCTCCTGAACGCCGTATGTCCATATTTTCACTCGTGGCTGCGCCACTCGTGAAAATATGGACATGGCGCTCACTCGATGAAATAAATTATAATCTTCCACAGAAATAAACAAATATCCTCTATTTATATACTATAGTTAAAAAACTACCATTTATTTTTTTTATTTGAAAATTATGACAATTACTCGAATTTCTATAAAAAGTGTTTTAATCGATTTGTTTGTGTCGGGTATAAGAAAATGCGCCATGATAAAGTATTATAAGATTAAGCGTTTCAGAAAGATTAACAGTCCCCAGTACCAATTTATTATGCTTATGAACATATGCTGTTTTACAGAGAGACTTTTCGGAAAATAAATTAATGTCATATTTCATTTATTGTTTTAGTTGTCAATGATTCATTTGTCAATGAATAGCACAATTGCAACTGCTATAGAACAAGCAAATACTAAAACTAATAATTTTAAATAGAGTGAGAGTGTTCTGTTGCTGACGAGTTTCTAATGAATATGCCATCAAAATAATATGTGTAGTTTTAGGAACATAATATGAATTTTATTTCTTAGCTTACTTATCAAATACTAGTATGTAATATATGCAAATGTGTAATAAAGTCATTTGATAAAAATGATATTACACTTATGTTATAAATATATTAGGTTCATTTGCGTTTCATACTTGTAAAACTAAGTGGAGAAACGCTCTAAAGAACGCGTTATACTATAAGCGCGCAATTGAAAATGACTCTTTTTAAATGTAAATCGTTTTTTGGATATGAGATAAATAGAATGTGATACCGGTATTAAATGATTCAATGCGTAATTAATTGAACTCATTGCCAAAGGCTCGCATAAAATAATTATATTCACCTCGTTTAATGAATTTAATATTTAATTTATATCGATTTCCGCACTTAAAGAGTTGGGAATTGAGTATGCTAGGGGGCGTGGGGGATGTTGCACGTTTTCATTATCCCTCATGTACATACTCAATCAAACAGAGTCTGCAATTTTCATGTTATCTTTTTGTGAACTTGTGATTAATTTTTCCAGATTTTTAAAACAAAACCACTGACATTCAACATTTCTTTCATTTTTACTGCTTTATGATGATAAGACCGAATGAAAAAAATGCTCATTTGTCTTTTAACAGACTACATAAAGTTTAATTTGAGAAAATAGATGTAATACATATATTGATATTCTAAATTATTGTTTGATTTAAAGCACATATCTACATCACGTATGGGCGTCCGTGGCCTAGTGGTTAAGGTCGTTGACTTTAAACCACTTGCCCCTCACCGCTGTGGGTTCGAATCCCGGCAGGGACTTTGGATTCTTGCATGTGAGGAAGCTATTTAGCTAGCTTACGGAACGTCGGTGGTTCAACTCAGATACCCGTTCGCGTCGATGTGACATACAAACAAACAAATCTAGATAACATGAATACCAAGTAAATGTAAATTATTAAAATATCAATATCGAAATAAAAGCACAATAAGTAAAAAGTTTTGAATAGGTTTTGAAAGTGAACTTTTCATAATAGATAATATTTTCTGTTTTACGTAAATATCACAATAACCTTTCCTAAAACCGGAGAGAAGAATGACCGATGATAGCATGCTCGCAGATTAGATTTTTTGTTCAGGGTTGGCATGATTGAGAAAGGATAAAAACCGAGCCCTTGCAAGGGTTATCGAACTATAATTAAATACGAAGATTGTGAAATAGTGTATCTCTGTAACCAACGCTTTATAAAGAAAATATGTTAATCAGAATGTAGTGATTCGTTTTTAGTTTATTTAATCATATCATTCAAGTACACGTACATTATCTATATGTTTTTTGTTATATTATATGTTTGCATGACCCAGGGGTATTTTCGACATAATTGTTTTTATATTTCACATTTGATAATGGTCGTATCGCAAAAGGTATTCTTAAGTAATCTCAATATATAATTTTTAATCAAATTGTATGGTGACTGATTTGGTGACACCTTTGTACGTCGTGTTGTCGCTAGTGACGGCACGGCAAAGCGCCAAACGGCGCGTTGTCGGACTTTCGTCATTTCGTCCTGTCGCTAACGATGCACTCAAAAGAGCGCATTGTTGTGCGGCGTGTTATCGCGATGTCAAACTATCGCTCGGCTCAAATCGAAGGATTTGCTATAGATATATATATATATGTATATATATAAATAAAACAAAAAACACAGTCCATGAGTTAACTTATTTAATTATTTGCCAACCGATTTCTCTTATGATCGTCAGGGCAATCATAAGAGAAACCTGTTGGCAAATAATTAAATAAGTTAAATCATGGACTGTGTTTTTTGTTTTATTTATATATGACTTTTTCCGGCATTTTACCTGTGAAATATGGTGCTATATCAGTCAAATATATTTCATATTTTTTAAAAATAAATATGAAATATAAATATGAAAGTGGGCAGAGTCAAAACTCATATTTATTCTAAGGGACTTCTTTCGCCATTTTGTTTGAACAATCTGAAAAATACAAGACAACTTTTTGTTGAATTTTGCTTTGAAAACTATCTAGAATGGTATAAAATTAACTAACTAGGAAAATAAATCCAAACACCAACATCTTTAATTCAGTTATTAACGCTGTACAAGCGTTTAAAGAGTTGTTTACGTGACGTCACAATGTAGCGCCAAATATCGCGTGCAAAACAAGACGCATTACTATATTACAATTGCAGTTGCATAGCAAGCAATGTGGTTCATAACCATTTTTCTTTGATAATGAAATTAAATAAAAAGGTTATTTTTTTCGTTTTTCGTGA